CATTCTCTTTGGTATATGGCTGCGAGGCTGTATTGCCATTAGAAATTCAGATCCCTTCTCTGAGAGTCGTGGTTACAACGGGATTAACAGAAGAAAAAAAGCATCAACGACGTCTACAAGAACTTGAAGCCTTAGACGACAAACGACTTCAAGCTCAGCAACAGATTGAGCTGTATCAAGCCCGTATTTCCAAGGCCTACAACAAAAAGGTCAAGGAACGGATTTTCAAGAAAGGCGATCTAGTTTTAGCCAACAGACGACCCATGATTTCAACAAAAGAGATCATAACTGGCTTCCGAAGACAAAAGTTGCCTAGCCCGGACTATGTACGCAGTCGTCCACGTGGCTGGCTCGAGCCTTTGCACGAAAGGAGTAGAGGTCTCGTCAGTATGTATAATCCCCCGCATCAAAGAGGGACAGTGCAGCACAAACCAAGCCACTAAATAAGTGTAGGGCATTGGTGTGCGGGGTTGAGAAGTCTTCCAAACTTTCCTCCCAGCAACAATCATCTCCTGGACGTCGAGGAGTTCAGAAACCAAATCCCGTAAGCCCCTCTGCAGACAACCTGTCATTGCCGAGAGAAGGCTTAGTGGTCTTCCATGAGCCAGGAGAACGGCTGGATAAACGACCTCAACCAAGATCGATTCAGCTGGCTTCGTCGGCACAACACACCGCTTCAACCATAGCATCAAGAAACCAGCGAGAAGGGCCGTGTCAGAAATAGGAATTGCAGCCTGATAATGGAAACTTTCAAATTCACTGTCGGCTTCGAATCCATCTTCTAAGCGCGTATTCCTATAAATGGCGTTAGGAGTTTTGATGCGAGCTTTGATACTCTTAGCAGAGCTTACGCCAAGACGGGTCACTTTCAAATCTTTCTGACCCAGGTTCTGAAACAAATAATCTGCCCAGGCGGTATGCATAAGACCACCCCCACGCATCCCAGCGACCTGAGCGCAAATGTGGAAATGACATAGCAACTCCCAAAAAGTGCTGTATATCTCTGGATGAGCAGCCCTCAAGATGGATAGCTCTTCAGTTGTTGGAACAAATTCTTCATAGGGCACTTGCCCAAAGGATAGTCCTGATACAGCATACATCTCGTGGAGAGCAAATCCTAACTCCCCAACAGGTGTAAAAAAGGTGCAGCTATCCGGGTTGTATCGCTCCAGCATAGCGAAGAAGCAGGGATAGCTCTGAGTAATCCCACGTCTCGTGGCCTGTACTGGTATCATAAGGCCAGACTGAGTAAGAGGCTCTTTGAGTTCCTCAAGGATAAAATCTACCATCCGAGTCCACCAACCATCTTCTCCAGAAAACAACCAGCCAGGAGAACGGAAGGCTTGTGTAGAAAATTCGCCTTGAGCGGCAATAAGCCGGCGTATGAAAATGTTCGCTGGAAGAGGTGTCTCCTGAGTGGGATCCTTTATCTCAAATCTACCAGGTCGCAGACCTTTGAGTTGTCCGTCAATCTGAACACGAGATGATTGACCAGAGCCAAACGAAACGTTCTCTTTCTCCTTGACGAGATCGAAGGCCAAGCCCCTACGACCACCAACACTCAGGAAGTAGGAAAGCGGGTACATTCTCTTCATGTTGGGAAGGAAGAATAAACGATCATCGACTCTTCGCAGCATCCGGGAGTCTTCTACATACCCGACTTGCCCATCAGCAGATATATGATCACCAAATAAGAATGAGGGTTTGACAAATTGATCCAGACCCGCAGGAGTTTCCAGATCCAGATCGGTGATCAAAGCCCTAAGGGTGGAACACTCGGCAAACCTGATTAAATGTTCCCGCTCCAAACTCGGGAAAGTGCACAGAGGAATTTCTCTATGAAGACCAAAAGCTCTCCCCACTTCGGGATCATCAGTGTAGTTGAAGTGCTGCTCCGGCAGAAGTGGCACATTGGAAAAAAGCACTGTAAAAATCAAAAGCAACAGTTAGCAGTATAAAGAGATTGCTAACATGAAATGAACAACGCAAAGATAAAATCCTGCGTTACAACATTTGAACGCAGAGATAAAATCCTGCGTTACAACATTTGAACGCAGAGATAAAATCCTACGTTATAACACCTGAACGCGGAGATTAAATCCTGCGTTACAACACTTGAACGCAGAACTTTAAGCCTGCGTTTCCAATTTTTAACACAGAGCTCTAAACTCTGTGTTCCCAATTTCAACAAAGAGTATTAACTCTATGTTTCCTAAACGCGGTCTTAAGCCTGCGTTTCCAATTTTAACACAGAGCCCTAAACTCTGCGTTCCCAAGTTTTGACATAGAGAATTAACTCTATGTTTCCTAAACGCGGTCTTAAG